AAGTTTAAATCCTGTTTCCTGCTTTACTACAGAATCTCAGTGAATTGGAACAAGTCACTTAAATATTCTGTCTTGGACTCTCTGCAGTGAGGGGCATTACTTACAATGAAGGGTCTCTTGTGACCTGTTAGCATTTGTGAGCTCTTAAATGCCCATAAATGAAAGGTGCAATTGTAATCTAATGAAATGAAATTAAAAGAGCATTGTGTGATTATGCAGCCCTAAAATGTGACTCCAAAACTGAACATTTTTCCAGGTGGCTTTTTTTGTGATGATGCTTGCCTTAACTCTTAGCATTGGTCCCCCCTGCCAGCAGTTTCTTCATGTTGCACCTTTGGAAAAAGCCACTGTGAGAGTCACTGACATTTTTCTTTTCTTGTCACAACCATTTAGATTGCAAAATTCAATACCCAGACTAAGGAAATGCTCCACTGGGGACAGGACGACTGCTGGCCATCTGAGCCCGTTTTTGTTCCCAGCCCTGATGCAAAAGAAGAGGATGATGGTAAAATAATGACAATGTTCTGAAAGCTGGGGTTACATGAGTTTTGTATTAAATCTTACAAGTTTCAGTATTCTTAGTCAAGAAAGTTGTGTTGATGCTTCCACTTTGAGACGGGATTATCTTTTCTGCTTAGTGAAACTTCATGTTTCTAATTCTTCATTTGCATGTCACAGGTGTTGTTCTGACCTGTGTTGTGAAGACTGATCCAAAGGATCCACCCTTCCTACTTGTCTTGGATGCTAAAACATTCACAGAGCTGGGTCGAGCCACAGTGAATGTGGAAATGCACATGGACCTGCATGGAATGTTTATACCACAGCAAGATGTGAAAACTGAGACTGAGTAAAATCTGATTGTTGTATTGCACAGACTGACATAACCTTCTACTGAATGTGGGATAATATCCTTCAGGAACAGCCTTCTCTTATGACAAGAAATGACTAATTATAACCTCCTCAATATCTTCATATAATCTCTAAGAAGAGAAAGAAATTACATTATTACAAATTCTTATGTGCACAACTGGTATATCACTATTCCAAAAGAAGAATTATCAATATGAAGTGCTAATGTTGAATACAGCTTGAGAGGCAAGGAATAGGAGACAAAGGTAACAAGAAATGTTTTATTTTAGTAGAACAAAGCTTTCTGAGCAAATGAAATACTTTATTCATAAGGTGACACATGGCATGAGTCACATATGTCTGCAGGTCATGTAACTTCCATGGGCTGTTGCAAGACTGCAGCTGACAATGAAAGTTGTCTCCTGCCAGAAAACCTCATGTTAAACTATCTACCATGATATCAATAATTCATGGCAATGTATGCTCTTGGTGCTTGATTTCTTAAACTCTACCATAACCAAAGTATTATGCTGAGGTGCTACATTTTTCTTATCCAGATCCCCCACCATCTTTTCTAATAATTTCATGGTGTATTTTTGGCTTTCATGTTGACAAAACCAAGTAACTTTATTGAAATAGAGTACATGGTTATATGTAGCATTCAATTATACTTTAGTGACATTCAATCTTAAGTAGTTTGTATTTAAATCAGTATTCCTTGGGCAGAATATCTGCCATGGCATTTCATGTAATTAGATGATTACATTCAAATGTTTACATCTTCCATAAAATGGAAATAAACACTTCAGTAAGGTGTGTTTGCAGAAAGAGTCACTTCTAGTGTTTTCAAGGCACGTTACCATTAGTATTTAATAGAACTTTATCTTCTACAGAAGAAATTTAATTCCATTTTTGTAAATAATATGGAGCCAGTACTGGAAGAGAAGACTGACTTGTGATATTGGCAAAAGACATCAGCTCTGGGGTTGTTTCTTTTCATATGAAAAAGTCTGGATTTAACAAATGTCCATAAATACATTTCTAGAATTACAAGGTGGCAATGAATCAAAAGTCTAACCATTGTTACAGATTTCCTTCTAAGAGTTGGTCTCCAGAATTTCTTCTGTAGTACTCACAAGGTTGTTTTTGGATGATGATGGGTTTGGATACAGGAGTTGACTTCTGAGGAGATTTTTATTGGTAGAGATGACAGGATGGGGGATACACTCATCATAAAAACAACCTGTAGTCTAAGAAAGCAAACGTGTTATTTACATTCATGTAGAAATAATGCAGAAAATAAGTGATAAGAACTTGTCTTGGGTATGATTTCTCAAATGAAATATGCCATATTCCCTTGGTTAGTACACAAGATATGTTAGACTTAAGTTTGTAGTTAACCTGAGGAGAAAAGCAGTGATGTGAATCTGCAGTTGCTAATCCAAATATCCTCCTGCAGCAGAAACAATAGGAATAAAACCATACAGATAATCACAAATCTGTTCAAGAATGTTTTTAGTGGTTGCAATACCAATCTGATGAAACATTTACCCTGATTACGGTAACACACTATCATTTCCAGGCTGACAGAAGCAAGGGGAAATGCAGATATGCTTTGCCAAGTGGCTGCAAGGCTCATGGGTTTTTTAATGTGGTAACATGGCACGTGGTAATGACTGTCATTTGGTTTGCTTCTGACACCCTTCACTGTGAATGAAATCTCAAGGGCTAGAAAGGTTTGATTCTTCTTTTGCACCAATTTAAGTCATAAATTAGCACAACAAAATTCATTCAATTAACACAAATCTAGATAGAGTGACTGCAAATAAAAAATAATAAAGATAAGTATCTCCATTAAAAGAAAAATACATAGCTGAGTGAGAGAATCAGGCCACGGGTATGCATACATATAATTAATTACCTCAGAGATGCTACAAATGGACCTTGATAGAGTGGTTTGGTGTGTTGTTTTGGTTTGGGGTTTGGGGTTTTTTTTGTTTATACTTTCATTAAATGGAACAAATAACAAGGTAGAACAATGAATTTTTTCTCTGGAACTGGATATTATCTTGTCCCATTGCCCCACATAGGCAGCAGGAGGAAGCAAGAGCAGTGTTTACAAGGACGCCTTAAAAACCAGAAATGCAACAATGTTTTCCTCTGTAACAATCTGTGCAGGTGGCAGGGAAACACACCGGTGTCTTTCTTTTCAAATAACCAGGCCACTCAATGACAGCTTTTGCAATAATTTAAACCACTGCTCCCTTGGGTCTGCAATTACCTGGGTATTAATGACAAGCAAAATACATCTTTCCCCTGCAGCCAAGGAGCAGTGTGCTCTTCTGCCTTCATTACCCTCAAAGAGAGCTGAGAACGTGTCCTCTAGAACCTCAAGCTACACCTGACATCCTGGATAATTATACCCAAGCAAGAAAAAAGTGGCCTTCTAATATTTGCAAATGAGTATGTACGACAAGTGTTGCAGAGCCACTGGTGTTTCATGCACATTGCTGTGGGCTTAGGCCTTCTGTCCTACATCCTCTGCTCCTAAAACTCCTGCTCAGAGCTGCACAACAAACCTGCAGCACGGTGCTCCTCCCTGTGACCCCTCTCCAGTCAGGGAGCACTTCAGCAAGGGTTCTGTTGTAAAGCCTGGCTCCACCAGGGATGAGCACACTCCGGGTGTGCACACCCTGGGTGTAGGGTTTGGACTGCTGGGTGATGTGTGAGGATGTCCCAGCTGCAGTCTCCATCTGCAGAACAAACCAGCATTGTGTCCAGCTTGGAAAGAACAAGGCTGCCTTTGTGAAGGCATTAATTTCGCTTTCCTATGGGGTTGCTTCCAGATACCCTAATTCATTTTCCAAGAGGTAAAATGATTTGGAGACACCACCAAATTGAATGAATGATAGAATTTTGTTACATTCCACTAAAATGCAAGTAATAAAAGCATGTGGCCCACCTCAGGTTTACTAGATCAGACCCTCTGAAAATGTCATTTTCCCAGTGAAGGGATGGGCAGAATGACATCCCTTTCAGTGTTCCAGAGGCTGGGAGATCCCAGTGCTGCTGTGCCTGTCAGCACAGGGAACACAGTGAGCTGCTGTGCTGGTCCCTCTCAGCAGCACCAGCTCAGTGTCTGTTTTAGAGCACATCACAGTTTGTGAAACACTTTCACTCAGTGCAAATAGTTTCACGGCTTTAATGTCAGATGCTGTTAAGAAAGCAGATGGAATCAACTGATCTCTTAATGTGCAATTAAGCACGATAATAAACGGCCTAAAATTTAAAATATGAACTGTCCTAAAGATCTTTTTTGCTGGAAAAGCCACATTTCCAGTGGGCAGCAGTGGAAAGGGGCACTGCCACTCTCTGTATTTAATTCTCATTCTCTTACTTCTCCTTGTGCCTACACCCGTAACATTCACCTCCAGCTCATGCAAGGGGACAAATAAATAAATAAATAAATAAATAAAAGGCCAGTTTTATAGGATCACGGAATCAATTAGATTGCAAAAAAGACCTTTGTGATCATCGAGTCCAACCTATGACCAAACACCGGCGTGTCACTCACACCATGGTACCGAGTGCCACTTCCAGGCTTTTCCTTAAACATCCTCACGGATGGTGATTTCACCATCTCCCTGGGCAGCCCGTTCTGATGTCAGATCACCTTTTCTGGGAAGAAATTTCTCCTAATGTTCAACCTAAACCTCCCTTGGCGCAGCTTAGGGCTTTTTCCTCTTGTCCTGTCTCTCGTTGCCTGGACAAGAGCCCGATCCCCCCGCAGCTCCATCCTCCTGCCAGGGAGCTGCGGACAGCGAGAAGCTTCCCCTGAGCCTCCTTTTTTCTCCAGGCTGAGCTCCCCCCGCTCCCTCCTGGTGCTGCAGCCCCTTCCCCAGCTCCGTTCCCTTCTCTGGACCTCCTTCAGTGACATTCCAAAGCCGTGAGGAGACAAAGCCGAGATTTCCGCGGGCCGTCCCCGCCCCGCCCGCCGTGCCCGAGGCGGCCGGGCCGGGCCGCCCCCGCGGGGCGGCGCGGGGAGATGATGCCGGGAGATGATGTCAGCGGCGGGCGGGCGCTCAGCCATGGTGTGAGGGCAGGGACTGAGCCGGCCCGGCCCGGCCCGGCTCGGCGGCGGCAGCAGCACCATGTCGGGCCCGAGCGCCGTGTCGGACCCGCAGCACCCGGCGCGGCTGCTGCGGGCTCTCAGCTCGTTCCGGGAGGAGACGCGGTTCTGCGACGCGCACCTGGTGCTGGAGGGCGAGGAGATCCCGGTGCAGAAGAACATCCTGGCGGCCGCCAGCCCCTACATCAGGTACGGCCGGGCCCGCAGCCCCCGGGCGGCCGCTCGGAGGGGCGGGAGCGGGGCCGGGGTTATGTAAGGAGCGGGGGATCCGCGGTGTGAGAGGACGGAGGAGCCGGGGAGGGCCGGCGGGGGGGTCTGCGGACCCCGGGTGCGCCTCGGCCCGGAGCTGGCCCGAGCGCTCAGGGCGGCTGTGCAGACATTCAAACCCAGCTGGACGCGGTCCTGTGTCACCTGCTCCAGGTGACCCTGCCTTGCCAGAGGAGCGGGACTGGGTGATCTCCAGAGGTCTCTTCCAACAGCAGCAATTCTGTGATTCTGTGGGAGCAGCTGCTGGGCCACCTCCTTTCCTCCTTTCCTCCTTTCCTCCTTCCTTCCTTCCTTCCCTCCTTCCCTCCGGCCGCTGTCCCTCCCGCAGGAGCCGTCCTGTTCTCGCCACACTCCGCTGCTTTTCCCCGCTCTGAGAGGCTGTGTCACCCACCAGGGACAAAAAAAAAACCCCAACAACTCAATTGCTGCCAAGTGCCTGGTGCGAACAAGCAGCCCCTAAAGAATGAGCTGTGAGGACGGTGAGGGAGGTGTCGGGCCAAGGAGCAGCGTCCCAGGGACATTGTGAGGTGCTGGGCTCTGTGTGTCCCTCGGCCGCACCGAGTCAGCACTTCAGCATCATTTTTTTCCTCCTTAATGTCTTTTAGCAAGACAGGGCTCCAGCTGGTGGTCATGGGTTCTGAAGTACATCGGCTTCTAAATTAAATATAAAAATACAGATTTGTCTCCTCATCGCTTGTGCCCCCACAGCATCTAAGAACATCACTCGGAAATTGCCAGAGGGACAAAGCCTGGCGGTGCCAGGATCGCTGGCAGCTCTTGGCAGGGGTGTCACCAGCATGTGCAGTCAGAACTGTGCCACTTGACAGCGAGTGCTGGGGAGGACGAGCTGCATTAGCACAGTCATGGTTTCCAAGGTGCTGGCAAACAGCTGCTCCTGAGCTGTGTGTGCAGGGAAACCCAGGTCATGGAAAGTCCTGCTGACACCAGTTTGAACCCCATCACACTCCGTGCTGGCAAGTCCACTGACATACCCTCCACAAGATGTTATGGTACACATCTGCATGTCAGAGTGCATAAACAAACCGTACAAGTGGTTAATTTCAAAGGGTTTTTGAGTCCACTCATTTGCAGGTAATAAAGGCATTTGTTTTGTCTTCATGTGTAAAGTAGGAGCAGACCTTCAATACCGTTTAAACACAGGATTATCATAAATATGTAGCAGACTTTTTGTACTGTTTGTACATTTCTCCCAGCTGCTGCTTCCCGTGAAGTTGTCATAAAATTTGCATTTTTTTGCTAGGTGAGGATGGGGATTCTTTATGTTACAGTCCAAAAAACTGCAACCTTCTGCAGTGTCATATCATCTGCTTTTAGGCAATACAATATTTTAGGTGGCCGTTGTAGTACAACATCAACATTCTCGAGGACAGAAATAAACTAAAAATAAATAGAATATGAGGCTGGTGAATAACTTTTAAATAGCAGTGATCATGCACAGACTTAAGTAAGGAGTTCTCTGCACTGAATAAACTAGTAGAGCTGAGATATAAAATAAAATGCACAAAGAATGAAGATCATCAAGAATTTGCAAAAAGGACATAGTGGAGCCTATGTACTACAAATAAATTTTTGTCAGTGCTTGTCTTGAGAAGCAGGTTTGGAAGACTGTGGTGACAGAAATCAAAGATATGAAATAGAAATGAGCCATTGATTCGTACTCTTCAAAATGCCTGAATGCTTTTTAGGTCATTGGCCGTCATATTTTAGGTGACCATATGCCTGACATTAAGTTTCAGAAGAGTTGATGCAAGTGGTAAGAGGTCATGTCCTTGGAAAAACTGCTGTTCTACTGTTACAGCAGAATGAGTTTACAGAAAATGTCATTTTTTTTACTGTGAAAAAGAAATGCTTAACTAAAAGATACTGTAGATTATCCTATGGAGAAGTGCCTTTTCACAGAATTTCATCTTCAAATTTTCCATTTTGTCAATCTCTGAAAAATGTACTGGGGGAACATGGGTTAATTGTGTGTGAGGAATAAGAGCTCCAGACACAACTACATTAGCAACAAAACTTGTAGTCATTAGAGTTGTGGTTTTTTTAAACTCAGAATTGTTCAGGTTCAAATCTCATGAAGGAACTCATTAACTATGTGTGAAAGTAGGTTACATGTATTAATATATAAATATTATTAAGTGTGGGGTAGTTGTTTTTTTTTAAGCTTACTCATGTCTTCTCCTCAGTCTTTCAAGACGTAAAGAATCAAAAATAAATGTACCTAGTTCTTGTACAGCACATTAGGAAACACATTTCTATCTTTGCAGAGCCTAATTTTCACTTGCTGCCTATCTCTCTTCTTTTTATCATTCCAGGATCTCTCTTAGTCCAGCAGGTCTTCATATTGGGTAGAATTGGTCAAATAGATTGCCAATGCTGGAGTATTGTGTTTCCAGCCAAGGGTAATGTTTCTGTGTCTCTTTTTGGAGATGAAATTGATCTCCACCTTGTACTTGGTCTGTGCAAGCCCCATTTATTTTGAGTGTTGGTTTTTCAAAGAAAATCAGTTTAGGCCTCTATATAGACAGTTACTGCAGGAGACATAAGAATTTCCTGCCCCTGTATTTTAGGGGTATCTCTGGTACCACAGGCTGTTACAGTCTCCGAATGCCAATTGATTCAGATTGCTCTCATTTGAAAAATTCCAATATAAAGCTCAGCAAAATCCATTAAGTAATTTCGGAAGTAAAACTTGGAATAAAAATAAGCGTTTACGTGGAACTTGAAGTGAAGCAGTGGAAGTGTGTGTTGATGTGTTTTCAGTGTCTGGCTGTGTCATTATGTGCTGTGGCTGTGGGCAAGTTGGTGGGCGAGTTCAGAAACTGTAGGGTTTGCATGAATGCCTAGTTTAGGGTGTGAGTAGGAAAATAAGTAGGCATGAACTTTGTGAGGGGGTGGTTGGGTGTGAGCAGAGTGTGCGTGCTGAAGGATTTGTGCAGCACGGAGAGAGGAGCGTTACCTGTTTTTTAGTTTTGCATGGAAGCTGTTTGGCTGACTGGTTCTGAGTAGGACACTTGTAAATTATAGTGATGTGTTTTCCCACTAGTTATTTGGCAACTGGATTATCCATGCAGCTCGAAGATAGCAGCTTCAGTGGGGAGAGGAAAAAAAGGCATGAAAGGGCGCAGAAACACATTGGAAGTGTTATTGGTGTCATGGGTCCCACCTGCCTGTCTGATCCATAGGGTAGCTTCTGCAGGTACAGAAGAATAAAAAAGGCCTGTTTCATTTTCAAATTTTCAGTCCGTGGGACCAGTAAGAATTTTATTTTTTGTGGTAGTTTGACTCTTGAGGTCTTGCCTCAACTTCTTAATGACAAGTGGTTTGTAGCTCTCTCAGGGCAGTGGGGTCTGGGGTGGTTGTGTGAATTCCTACAGAATTCCTTTTTATGTACAGGTTTATCTAATCCCTCTGTGTGCCCCTGGAGCAAATTCTGCCATTTACAAAGCACAGAAGTCACCCTGCATATCTCTAACATCTTGTGGTATGTTCCTGAGCCTGAGAAAAGGAGGGCTCCTCAGAAGAAACCGCCACAGGACAAAGCGTGGTTTGGCTCAAGGTGATGTTGCTGTGCATCCCAGAGCAGTTATACCCGAGCCACGTTAGCTCTTGGTTTTCTCTTCTGTAACAAATCAGCCAGAAACCTGCACTTTTTTTAGTACTACTCTTTTGTCCTGGCAATTGCCTTAGAGAAGATCATTGCCCTGGTTTAATTTATTTAGTTTGAGAGCCCGGTGTAAATTACGGTGGCATAAGAGGGCTTTTCCCCAAACAAACCATGCTTGCACTGGTAAGTTTGGCCTGAGTTGTGGCATAGATCCACCAACCTTTTATAGGATAGATTTGGTCCAGGCATTCCTGGTATCCTCAGCAGTAGCAGCAGATGTTCCCATCTGAACAGATCTGTCACTGTCTGGCATGAGTCGTTCCTGGCCAGCTCAAACTTGCAACTCTTTATATTTTGCTCACTTACTGTCTGCTTGCCTAGATCACAGGGAGCATGTGGGAACTACCTGAACAAAGAGGATATTTAAGCCCATATTCTTAGACAAATGTAATGTTGTTCTGCAGGGATTGTGCTGCTGCATTACAAATTGAATTAAGACATTTTTGTTACCTCAGCAAGTTTTGTCTTTGATTTTCACGCATCTGCGTGAGCAGATTGCAGATGGCTGTATGTGTTCTATACTGTTCCCCAAGGCTTTTCAAACTCAGTAATGGACCAGTAATCATATTTAAATCTTTTTTTCAGATGAGCATAATATAACTAAATAAGAATGTAAATATAAGGTTAAGTTCACATTATTTTTATGTACTTATAAATAGCTGTACTGATTGTAAATGGATTTTGGTGAGAAATAACCTGACAGCATTTGCATCTTCTCACTTGTCCTGTTCAACCTTCTGGCATCCCTAAAACACTGCAGACCTTGTAAGGCCCTGCACAGCCACGGCCAATGCTGAAATAGATTTCCATGGAGATGTGGGGGGTCGTGCCCCCATCAGTGACCTCCTGCCCTTTCCTCTGTGTGCTGGCACTTGGAGCATTTGCAGTTGTCACGGGGGGAGCCTGCTGAGACTCCATCCCTGTGTGAGTGTGCCTGGGAGCATCTGTGAGTGCTGGGATGGGATGGGATGGGATGGGATGGGATGGGATGGGATGGGATGGGATGGGATGGGATGGGATGTCCCTCTGCACCCTGGAGGTGCGACTGGGCACTTCTTGTTACACCTGTTGGACAATGAATATTATTGTAGAGCAAGGTCAGGTAGGAGCCAACACATGCCAGGAGCTTCTGCTGCTTATTTCCTGCTACCTGTCTGTTTTTTACTGACATTTATAGAGATCTTTTATAGAGTTTTAAAACTTCTCTTCAATTTGGGATGAATATTGAAGTCAGGAA